GACATTTTCCTGTTGACTGCCACAGAAAGCTGCAGTAAAGGGTTCGTCCACGTAACCGGTTTACTAAAGTGTTTACATTTCCCGCCGTGGACGACGGTCCCGTTCCAGGCCTCAGTCGGTCATATACGTCGTCGTCCACGTTCTCGTCGTCATTGCTAAAGGTCCCTAATGTCATGAGAGTCACGTCAGTGGAATAGGCGCCATCTTGATTTGGATGACTCGGCCCCAAGCATCAACGCGGTTAGTCACGACAAAAATTCGGCGAGTGTGCGGCAAGCTGATGGCCCGACAAAATTTAACCCGATTTGACCCCGACAAAAAATCTGCAGTTCTCCGGCACAAAATCGGCTAGTGTGCGGCAGCCTTAGGGCGAACAAAACTCACTAACTCCCTTGGGAAACAACAACTTAAAGTTTCGACTCGCACATGATCAGGTCGTGCTCCTTGAAAGCGCGGCAAATTTGTGAGCCAGCTGGTGTCAAGCAAACGATTTTTCGCAGTTTTTTTCTATTTTTGAGTTGGGAGGTATAACAACACACTTAATGACTAGTCCCGCAGGAAACAGTGAGATNCCGGTGGTGTTCCAAACCCCTTTTTATCCTTTTAATCGCTCTTTAAACTTCCTAAAATTTCACTTCAATTCATGTTTACCTCCGCCTCAAGCCACTGCAGCTCTAATTAATAACGAAATATTTATTTCCATAAAAGAGAAGGTGTGACATTTTTTATTATTATACCGTCCAACCCAAATACGTTTTCCGTTTGGAGGAGAACGTGTCACGTGTCACGTGTCAAAACTCAATAACTCCCTAGAGGCCGCCGCACACTAGCTGATTTGTTGTCGGCCGACAAAAAATCTTTACTTGTCGGCTAGCGTGCAGTGAATTCAGACAAATCTGCGACAAGATCGGGGCTTGTCGGACGATATCTTACAGTGCTAGATCTCAAAACGTCTTGCCGGGCCTTGTCGGCTAGTGTGTGATTGACCAAGACAATTATTTGTCGGGGCTCGCACGCGCCTTAATTAGGAAATGTCATGAGAGTCACGTCAGTGGAATAGGCGCCATCTTGATTTTGGATGACTCGGCCCCAAGCATTAACGCGGTTAGTCGCGACAAAAATTCGGCTAGTGTGCGGCAAGCTGATGGCCCGACAAATTTTAATCCGATTTGACTCCGACAAAAAATCTGCAGATCTACGGCAAAAAATCGGCCAGTGTGCGGCAGCCTTAGGGCGAACAAAACTCACTAACTCCCTTGGAAAACAACAACTTAAAGTTTCGACTCGCACGTGATCAGGTCGTGCTCCTTGAAACCGCGGCAAATTTGTGAGCCAGCTGGTGTCAAGCAAACGATTTTTCGCAGTTTTTTTCTATTTTTGAGTTGGGAGGTATAACAACACACTTAATGACTAGTCCCGCAGGAAACAGTGAGATTTGTTTCCCTTCGACCTCAGTGTTCCCCTCGGCTTCGCCTCGGGAACATTGGGGTGTCGGGGAGACAAAACTCACTGTTTCCCTTGGGGCCAGTCATTAAGTACTTATTATCGCCTCTTCAGTCAAAAGATGCGATGAAGACCTAATTTCTCAT